TTTTGTTTGATTTTGAGGGTCTTTTCTAGTCCCCTATAGAATTTTTCTGCCACATCACCCTGATGTTGGGGCGTAAGTTTCATATTGCTCTTCTACCGGTTGTTGGACTTCTTCACTGACGACATCCAGTGACTGCCTGTGCCCAAAAAGGAGAATCCTTACTTAGGGCCTTCTCTACCCTAAGGCCATCTGGACCTGAGAAACAATTTCTCTTCCTTGCCTTCTGAGTTTGTTCTTTCACTTGCCAGGCAAAGAGAATGGAGTCTCCAACTTTATGAATTTTGAAAAGTCAGGAAAATGACCCATAGTAATTTAGGAGTCAAAGTCCAGTCCAGAATTTGTAGTGTTGATTTTCTGAGGACTAGGAAGTGATCTTTAGGCAATGCCTTCTGGACTCAGCAGTGGAAGTTTAAAAAAGGACTCCTACTAGTCATGACACATTTGGGCCTAAACCTGGGACCAGTAATATGTAGGAACTGAACTAAGTCCCCCCCTCCCCCCCAACTGAGGTAGTGTAATAATAATAATAATAATAATGATGATGACGATAATAATAATAATGATGAGTATTTATATAGTACTTCAGTACGTTGCAAGTATTTTCTCATTTTGTTTTGACAAAAAACCTAGGAGATAGGTACTATTAGTATTTCCATTTTACAACTGAGGAAGCAGACAGACAGAGGTTAAGTGATTTGCCGAGGGTCACGCAGATAGGGTCTGAGGCTAGATTTGAACTTGGGTCATTCTGAATCCAAGACCAGCACTCTATCCATTGTGCATCCCAGCTGCCTTAGAGGAATACAGAGGAGAGTACGCCCAGAACTATTAGGGGAAAATGTTTATATACTTGTTCTTGATACATCTTTGAAGTAAATATCCCTTTGTAAATGCTTTAAAAATGGATTTCTCTTATTATAGAAATAGAACCCTTCCCCCCAATAGTTAAGGGTAAATATGTGTTTCTTTCAAGTATTGCCATTTATACCCTTTGGCAATTTACCTCTTGGGATAACGGATCTTTCTCTTATAAATTTGTAGCAATTCCTTATAGATTTGGGAAATAACATTTTTATTAGACATGTTTATGCCAAAGATTTTTTTTCCAATCTGTTTATTTTCTTCTTATTCTGTATGCATCAATTTTTGTTGTATAAATATTTTTTATATATTCAAATCCTATAATTTCTTCTATTTATTGGTTACACAGTTTTCCTCTTTTTGAAAACTATAACATTTATGGTTTCATTTTCTTCTAAAATTTTATTCATATATATATGCATACATACATATATATGTATATTTAGACCATTTATCTATTTGGAATTTATTATGGGCATAGGGAGTAAAAAGGAGATCTAATCAGATTTATATTCTTTGTCTATAACTGAACCATTCTGGTACTTCTAATGTAAATCCTAATTGATAATAATGATGAATATTTGGACATATTGCTATATTCCATTTATTGATATTTTATTATTTGTGTATCACAATTTATTAATGATATTGATTTAACTCCTTCTATGAGGCAAATGTGGTTCTGTTCCATAAACCTTGTAAGAATAACATAAAGAGAACCATATTTCTAAAAACATTTTACATAGATTGAGTTTTTGAATGTTTGGTAGAATTCATTTATAAACTTAGTGCCTTCTTATATGGCAATTCATTAATGACCTGAATGTCTTCCTTTGAGTTGGGTTTATTTAGGTTATTCTTATTTTGCTACTGTGAGTGTTTTCCATTTTTGTAAATATACATCTATTTATTTTGTAGTCTCAGTTTCGTTGGCATCTAACTTTGCACACTAGTCTGAGAGTCGCATTTATTTCAATAGCATTCCTTATGATCTCTGCCAACTCATTTGTGATTTTGATAATTTGATTTTTCCTCTCTCCATGTTTTGATTGAATTTTTAAATGGTTTGTTGAGTTTATTGTTTTTTCCTTAAAACACTCCATATACTTGTTGTACTTATTAATTCAATTTTTCTTTTCTTTCCAATTTTATCTCTGTCCCTTTTGGTTTTGATAGTTTCTTGCTTTGGGCTTAGTTTTGATGTATTAATTTGTTCATTTTCTAATTAGGTAATCTGAGAACAATTCATCAGTTTTCTAAATAACAAGTATATGCTTTTGTTAAAGATGCTGGCATCTGTTTCCATATTGTTTGGATGTTAATATATTTACTCTGTGTCCTCATTAGCCAGTCATCAAACGAAAGACAACTTTCAAGAGCTCAGCTTAATATTTATCACTTTATGTGGTTCCATCTCAAGAAACTCTCTGACTCTTTGCATACCTGGAAACAAAATACAGCTTGACCAGTCAAATAGAATGTCATCAAGAGCAATGTGTTTGTATGTGAGAGAAAGGCAAGTCTCTTGTCAGAACATTTTTAGAAACCTAATATTGACCAGGCAAGAACAATTTGCAAATTAATTATTTAGGACTCATATATTTGAAATTCAGATAAAGTGGTGGCAGCAATTCAAGCATAATGTCACCCGTGGATACTTTTAGTTTTATGAAAAATAATATGGCTCAATTTTTCTTTTTACCCATGGAAATGGAGTTCTGGGGACCTGTCTACAATTCTAATCAAAAGATATAAATTACTGCTGCAGGTTTTTTTTTTTAGGACATGGTGATTTCTGAAGTGGAGAATTCAAAATGAAATTATTCTTAGTTTCTAGGATGTCTTTGAAGTGGTTTGCCCTGAACTATTGTAAGACAATGCCAAATATGTGGGACTACCAGGCATAGGGATTGAGGTCAGGGTCAGGATCATTTCTATTAAGGTCACTGAAAGTACATCTTCTTCCTCAGAACAGAAAGGATCCTCAGCTCAACCAATTAGAAGAGTTCGTATCAGAATTTAGAATCTATGGTACAATATTTGTTTGTGCAATCCAGACTGCGTTAATAGGAGCACAATGTCCAGATCACAGGACACCACAGTCCCTGTACTTCACCCTGGCTAGCTCACAATCTGAGTATTGGGATCAGTTCTGGACACCACATTTTAGGAAGGACGTGGATTTGCTGCAATGCCTCCAGCTGGGAGCAATAAGATTTTTGATTGTCATAGCAAGATTGGTCAAAGGAAAGGGGGATGCTTAGCTTGAAGAAGAAGAGGCTTGAAGGGGACATGATAACTGTTGTTAAGCATCTCAAGAACTGTCATGGGGTAGGACAACTAGACTTGTGCTTGTTGGCCTGGATGGAGAGAAGTAGGATAAACAGAGGGAAACTGCAGAGAGACAGGTAAACATCGGCTCAATAGAATAGATAATAATAATAACATATATATGTATATATACATAATTTACTATGTGCCATGCATTGCGCTAAGCAGTTTACAATGATCTCATCTGATCCTCACAACAACCCTAGGAGGTAGGTGCTATTATCATCCTCATTTTACAGATGAGGAAACTGAGGCAAATGGGTTGAGTGACTTGCCCAGGGTCACACAGCTAGTAAGTGTCTGAAGCCGGATTTGAACTCAGGGCTTTCCACCTAGTTTCCCTTTCATAGATTCCTAACAAGAGGAATGGAGAAGGGAACGAGCCTACCAAATGCTAGGCGCTCTGCTAAGCGCTTTTTACAATTGTTGTCCTATTTGACCATTTGAGCTGCTGCTAGAGTTCATCCAGGAAAAGCTAGATGATCATTTGCCAGGAAGGTGAAAGAAGGGATTTGCATTCAGGTATGACCCCGGGTGTGCTGTCAATTTTGGGTTTTCACAATTGTATGAAATAACTTCTCCACTGGAGTCTCTGTCCTGTGGGAGCATGCCAGGAATTCTGATGACCCTGCTCTAACATTAGGAAAACATTGGGTCAAAACTTTCATTGACAAAACTGTTGGCAGACACACACACACACACACACACACACACAGATTTACATACATACTTCTCATCTTTGATTCTAAAATATTCATACATGTACACACATATACATTCACGGAGACAACTTACAAATATCTGCATTAGTACAGTTGAGTTTAGCATTATTTTTTTTTACCCCAACAAATGGTTTTCCTATTTCTATTTGGCAAAGGTTGAAACGAAAGTGAATCTTCATTTCCTGAGCTCTCCCTGGGAAGGTGGCTACAGGGTGAACTGCGCCAGGGGACAGAGCTGAGTTCAATTTAAAAATCAACCCTGGCTGGGTCTGATCTAACCACAGGCAATGGGAGAGCTGACTCCTTTGATTGTCTGCTTTTGGGCCTCTGTAGGGGATCACTGTGTTTCTGTGATACTGTTAATGGCACATGGAATCACAGTTCTTCTATCCACACTTAATTTAACTTCTGTTACAAGATATAACATGCTCTTCACTTTCTTTATGGTCCAATTTGCCAGTTGGCACAGGTGTCTCTGGCCAAGCCTGGGAATAAGAACACAGCTCTCTGACGTGACTGGATGGAGCATCACCCATCCCAGCTCATCCCCAGGAACACACTGATCACAGAGCATGGTTTCTGAAACTGCTATAGTTAGCAAGAGAATGTTCTCTGTAGACCCCAATTTTATCCTCATTCCATGTGAAGGGGACTTTCTTCAGGAACTGAGTACCCAGGAGTTGACTTATTATTATTATCATTATTATTATTATTAGTGTTCATCTTATGCATCTCCTCAATTTGCTCTGAAACCAAGCACTTTCCTCAGAATGATTCAAGGGAGCTCTGTCTGTGGCAACATGAGATGAAAAAAACTACACTAAAGGAGTGGGCTGTTGGAGGGGCAGAATAAGAGTGGAGAGATGTGGGGACTTTTCACTTTCTAGACTCCAGAAGTTCAAGAATTAGCAGCCACAGTCAAATTGAGGAGATTATGGTCATTCTCTCTCTACGGATGAATATTTTCAAATCTCTGTGAGCAGAGAAGCTTGGCTACTTTGAGTGTTTCAGGATGATGACTTTTTGAACTTAGGAAAGCATCTCCCTTCTAGACACACAACCTCCAGCCCCCAAATGGAGAGACTGTTCGAGTTAAATGATTTTATTTTAGATGCGATTGTCAAGTGTGAAAGAAGACTCTAGCTCAGACTTCCTGTTGGCCTGTCCATTGGCTTGTCCATTGGCTCTGGCTTGCTCTGTTTTCTTTGCTGGGAGGTTTTCCTTATTCCTTTTGGCGAACACCCGGCTGATTTCTGCATAAGTCTTGTTTTTGGTCTCAGGAAGGACAAAATACAAGTAAGTCGCTCCTAGTATGCAGATTGCGGCAAAGACCAGGAAGCAGTATGTTTTCAAACCTTCCTGTAAGCAGATAGAAAGGAGAGCTCCATTGAAAACATTCCAACATATTTAGCAAGAAATCGTCACAATTTTGCATTTAGGAAAGGGTGGAGATTCAGTTAGTTTGAAAAACAGCTAACAGTTCCAAAGAATGTACTGATTTTGAGAATGTCATACCCAGGAAGCACTATTATACTATGACCATTTTATAAAAAGGCTTAAAAAATGCCTCAAAAAGAGACTAAGAAGTTTCTATGACTTAGTTTTCATACATTACTTTCTGAAAGTAAGCCACTATGATGACAGAATGTAGATAACAACTAGAAGTTATCCTGAATGCACAATAAGCACCTCTTATGTACAAGGTGCTGCAGATCATTGATTAAAAATGATGTAATCCTTGATCTCAATGAGTTTACCTTCTGCTAAAGAGAATATAGCACACACGTATAAAACAAGGTAAGAAGTGACTGGGGCAAAGCAGGGATCCAAAGTGTTTTTGGAAAGCTTGAGCAGGGAGAGAAGAATCACTTTCAAGAATTATTTATTAAATGACTACTACATGCAAAATCCTGTTCCAGGTGTATCAGGAAATGCAAAAATACATGAGATGTCCCTACCCTGAGAAGTTTATAGTGTACTATGGAAAATGCATTCCTTTGTTTATTCAACAAATATTTAGTTACTGACTCTTCTGTGCAAAGCACTGTGCTAGGCACTGTGTTATCAATTAATCAGCAAATATTTATTATTCTGTGCCAGATACTGTGATAAATACTGGAAACCCACAGAAAATGTCAAAATAGTTACTGTCCTCAAGAAGCTTACATTCTCACAAGGGAGACTACCTGTGCATAAATAGGTACACACCAGATACATCCAGTTTAGAACAGAAGGCAATAGCAGCAGGGAGGGTTAGGAGAGACCTCCTGCCAAAGGTAGTGCTTGAGCTGAGTCTGGGAGGAAGCCATAGATTTGAAGAGGCTGAGGTGAGATAGAGAGCATTTCAGGCATGGGAGGGACAGTCATTTCAAAGGTAAGGAGACACAAGATGGAACGCTTGTGTGTGAACAACAGCAAATCTCATAGAATCATTCGGTTCAAGCTGGATGGTACCTTTGAGGTCTTTGAGTCCAATCCCTGCATTTTATAGATGAGGAAACTGAGGAACAGAGAATGTAAGTGACTTGCTGAGGGTCACACAAGTAGTAAGTATCTCAGGTAGGGTTTGAGGTTGGCTTTGCTCCAGATCCAATGTCTGTGCATTTTGCCACTTGGCTGTCTGCCAGGGGGGGTAGCCTGTAGTGTGTGTGAGGGTGAACAATCACTGACAAGGTAAGGCTGTGAAGGGCTTTAAATGCCAGAGAAATTCTATGTTTGATCCAAGAGGGAATAAGGAGTCCCTGGAGCATTTTAAGTGCGAGTGTCATGTCTAGACTTACACTTTAGGAAAAGTCTCTTTGAAGGGAAGATGGAAAAGACAAGTAAGGTGAGTCAGAGAGATAAGTTAGGAGACTTTTGCAGTAGACAAGGTGAATTGTGGTTCTGAACTAGAGTGGGGGCTATGTGATTGGAGATAAGCTATAAAGAAGGGATGCTGTAGGAATAGAAACAATAACTAGATGTGCATGGTGAAAGTGAGGAGGTGATGACTTGGAGGAAAAAGACTGGGGTTGAACATCTAGCTCTGTGCATCACCGATATGGAGGTGACAGTTGACCCCATGGTAGTGGAGGAGAGAACTAAGGGAGAGTGTAGAGAGGAAAGAGAAGAGAGCTTAGGACAGAGCTTTGGGGGTACACCTACAGCTAGTGGATGTGACGTGGTTGGAAATACAGCCAAGCAGACTGGGAAGGAGTGGACACAGAGAAGCAGAACCATGAGAAAGCGGTGTCATGAAAACCCAATGAGGAGAGAATGCCAAAGAGGAGAAGGTGTGATATCATGTCAAATGCTACAGAGAGGCCAAGAAAGACAATGGGATCACAGGAACAGCATGGTATAGTGGAAAGAATACTGAATTTAGGATTACCGGACCTGGGTTCAAATCCTGGCTTTTCCATGTGCTATTTCTGTGTTCTTGGGTCATTCACTTAATCTCCCTGAGCCTCATTTTCCCCACTTATAAAATAAGAAAATGTTCTAGATGACGCCTACCATCTAAATCTATGTTCCAATTTACCACAGGATATTAAAGTTAATGGAGTTTCCAAAAAAGACAGCCTTATAGCCAGAATAGTTTCAGTGTTGGGCAAACATCTGAACAGAAGTTACCTGGTGGAGGCTACATCTTCCATGAAACTTTCTCTGACTTACCAATGTAAAGAAATCCCTTCTTTCCTCCTTAGGTCCCTCCTGTAAGTTTATAGACGTGGAGCTGGAAGGAGCTATAAGTCTATCTAAGACATATCTATCTAGTTCAACCCCTACTCAAATCATACTTTTTTCTTTATCACATCCCAGGGAAGTGATAAGATGGACTCTGTTTGAAGATGTCTAGTGACAGGGAATTCGCCACCTCCATGGCAGCCCATCCCCTTCTTGTAAAGGTCTAATTAGTGACTAATACTAGGGACGTAATAATGCTTGTTGATTGACTGAAGTTGTGCTTCTCTTTCGCACTTACGTTCTATTTTATAGAATAGTCATTTTTGTTTAGCAGATTAATAAGGTTTTTTTAATCCAACTATGCACTTGCCTTCCCCTAATAAATTTTAACATCCTTAGAGGTAGAAATCTTACCTAATTTATCTTTGTATCTTCCCTGCCCTATACAGGTATAGTTGTCTGAGAGGTAGCATGGTACAACAATCACCACCATCACCACCACCACCAAGTACTTGTTCAGTCCTTTTAGTCATGACTGACTCTCTGTGACCCCATTTGAGGTTTTCTTGGCAAAGATACTGGAGTGGTTCATCATTCTTTCTCCAGCTTATTTTATAGATGAGGAAACTGAGACAAACAGGGTTAAAGGACTTGCCCAGGGTCACTCAGCCAGTAAATTTTTAAGGCTGGATTTGAACTCAGGTTTTTCTGACTCCAGTCTTGACACTCTATGCACTGCACCATCTAGCTGATCCCAACAACAACTAGCATTAACATAATGCTTTAAGGTTTGTGAAGTTCTTTACATGTGTAAACAGATAGAAAGCCCAGTCTCAAAGCCAGGACAATCTGGGCTCAAGTCATACCTTTGACTCATGTTGGATTTACTTTCTTAGTGCTCTAGGAATCTTTCATCTAAGTCTCTGTCTCTGTCTCTCTGTCTGTCTCTCCCTCTCCTACCCATTAATCCTATTGCTACTCTCTGGGGTCAATGGAACCAGTTGGATCCTCCCCCAGAAGATGGCCCTTCCCATACTTAGAAGGTATGTTACTTCAGAGGTTTACTCTTAGGAATCCAAGTATTGTACAAGAAATGGATACTGGAGTTAAGTCAGCTGCACTTGAATCTCAGCGATGAAATTGGATCCATTGGCTGCTATAATAAGAAAGCTGTCAACTTCACCGAGGCAGCGGGACACCAAACCTATTTCAATTCAGCATTTACAAGACACCTGCTGTATGCAAGTTTCTGGGTCTGGTGCAGGGGAATATAAAGATTCAAAAATGCTGGTTCCTGCTCTCAAGAAGTCTGCCTTCTCTTGGGAGGATACAGAACAGCACAAACATGAATTTGATAAAGGCAGAAAGGGTGTGATGGGGGGCAAAGGGCAGATTCTGAAAACAAAAAACACTTTAGGAAAATTAGATTAAGGAAAGGATGCTTTCAGTGAGATGATCGGGGACCTCTCTATAGAGCAACTTCAGGTGGGTCTTGAAGCAAGCAAAGGTTTTCATCAGAGATGACCTGGGTGGGGGGGCGCTATAGAAAAAGCACTGATTTTGGAGTTAGAAGACCTGGGTTCAAATCCCACCTCTGATGTTTAATGCCTATGTGACCTTGCACAAGTCATTTAACCTCCAGGGATTCAGTTTTCTCATCTGTAACATGGGAGGGGTAGATTACATCAGGGCAAGGGACTGACCTGTGCGAATATAAAAAGATGGAAGAGAATGCAGGATGAGATTGGGTGCAAGCTAGACCCTTGAACCTAGACCACTGGGTACTCTATTATGCAGGCTGTGTTTCTCCTTCCCTTTTCCCCTTCTCCCCCTCAAACTTGGTGTCAGGAAAGGATCTGATCACATTCATTTACACCTCAGTATGAACATTAGCCACGATATTTACTCTCCTAGGGGTTTTGTATTTTAAGTTTTATTTCTTATTTTTTGAATGAAAGGGCTTGGCTCCTGTGAAAGGAATTTTAGGCATCCAGAGAAGTTTGGGTAGGGGATCTATAGGGAATATCACTGGATTAGAAATCAGAAGGCCTGGGTTCAAATTCTGGCTGTGCCACTCATTCATTGTTTGATTTCGTACAAGTCACTTAATCTCTCCAGGCCTCAATCTCCTCATCTATAAATAGGGATATTACTTATAATATCTACCTCACAGGATTCTTCTAAAGATCAATGAAATAACAGTTGAAAATGTTTTGTCATTTGTAAAGAAGTAGGATACAGCTACAAAAGGCTGTTATTTGAAGAAGTGCTAAATGGAAATTGTTGTGATCAGGGATCATGCTCTCTTTCCCTGTCTTTTTTTTTTAATTTTTTACTAATTTATTTTGATTTATCAACAATCACTTCCATATGCTTCTGAGTTTAAAATTTTTCTCCCCCTTCCTCCCCACCACCTTTCCCAAGATGGCACACAATCTGATATAGGCTATTTTGTCTTGTTTTTTAAGGAAGGTATTATTTTCTAGAGATAAAGGTGGAGAGTATTATTTGCAGTGTGATAGGCCCAGAAATGTAAGATAGGTAATTGGAGCATTTCCAAAAGGTGTCCCCTCAGGGTGCTGTCCCTGGAGTCAGGAGGACCTGAGTTCAAATCCAGCTCTAGACATTTACTAGCTGCATAACCCTAGATAAGTCACCTAACCTTGTTTGCCTCAGTTTCCTCACCTGTAAAA